GGTTCTCTGCTCGGCCTGGCGGAACAGATATAAACTTGAAATGAACGTTGCTTTGCTGTGGTAATAGAGGCCATTCGAATGCGTTTACGATCTTCAAAGAAGCGGTATGTCTGTCGCTTCCCTGAAAGGGTGGTCGGCAAATACTCATTATTTTCCTTACCTACAGAAGCAACAGCTCGTGCCCAAAACTACGACTCAGTGACATTTATGAATGCTCCCGTGGGCAGTGATCATCTGTGTGGATGGACCATTAGCTGGTAGCGCTGTACCTGAGAAGTCTTGTAGGGGACGAACGGCATATGCTATGGAAAGGGAGGGGTGCCGTGAAAAGAAACCTATCCCTTCATATGAAACCCCACCGCAACGGGTCCCTACGGCTCTCGCGGAATGATAGACAGAGTGGTTGGCAATGATGGCGGAAAACCCAACGGTAGCGAAACTGGGAACCAACAAGTATCGTAATATCAGTCTGATCTTATGACTGTCTACATCCCTTCCTTCTGTTTAAAATTCCCACTTTTGTACATTTCCTCTAAACCCAGAGGTTAGCTGGTAAAAACGCCGGAAAGAAAGGGTGGATACTGCTAAGAATTAGTATTACATCGAAGTAACGAGGGACGATTCTTTGGGTGAAAACTGAAATTCACTCTACCGAAATCTTATAGCAACGGCAACCACACGTGTGAATTTGAGCCGTAGTTCTGAAGGCGTACATCGCTTCTAGCGTTGTACTATCTCTCTCGCAAGTGGGTGAACCGGTTCCGGTACCACCTAGGATGCGTTCTTTTTGCAGCTCGAATGTGAGCAGGATCCGGGTCACAAGCTTGTCGCTGGCGTCCACGAGGTCCGCTCCTGCCCATGTGTCGCATGTGTCATTGTGCCACTGAAAACTGCCGATTAACTGTGATGAGACACAGTCCAATTGTGGAAGCTGCTAGGCGCCCACAATTGGACTGTGGAAAACAGTAATTAATAGTAATAGGCATAATTAGTGGAAAACTGACTGGCGCTACGCCAAAGGCCCCCTCCCCCCGCTGAAACACCCCAGCTTCTGCAGTGAACGAGGCTTATCTACAAAGACCTTCACACAGTAATAGGGCAATATGCGCTGGTGCGTTCTTGCATCGGTGCCAAGATATAAATATCTGAGAGCTCCTCTGTAATTTCTTTCCAAACATTTTTTATTCAATTGAAATTTTAGGCGCGAGGACCGCTGGGGAGGGGGCGGGGGTGGGGCAGGGGGGGGGGGGAGATTCAGGCGGCAATCATAAAGAAGGGCTTCTTATGCAGAACCGGGATCTGAATACGATTATCGTACTTCAAAACTGTTCACTCACCCCGGAGCTTTCTCACTGATCAGGTCTAGGCAAGAGTTCTCCCATTACGGTAATTCTAATTTCTCACAAAGAGCCTTTTGAATGCCCCCTTCCCTCCCCACCCGAGGTCAAGCGCCATCTTCTTGTTCTGCAGTAAATTTCGCGTTGTTTCGAAAGCATTTCCCATATTTGTTAAAAATTATCTGGTAATCGATTTCTGCCGGTTTCAGCTCAACGACATCTCGTCCCTCTTCACGCGTCCAGTGGTAACGACCGTAGCTCGGATATCGATCTCACGGCCTGCGAAGGTTAGTCTCAACTAAACGTAAAGAAAGAATGGATCGATTTTTCGTGAAATGTAAAAATTTGTTGAATTGCTTTGTTTCACTCTCTCAGAGCTGCTGCATATTCACAAGAGAATCGCTGAAGGTGGAGTGAATGAATTCATTAGACATGGATTCCAGGCGTATAGTTGTATACTTCCCACTATACAGTATAGCTACCGTATAACCAGTGTTCTCATGAGTGCTTACAAGGTGGAACGCGGTTTTTTTTCGTTCCACCTGCTGGATTCCGGATTCAGTCAGCTGCGGTGGTGATTACTATGCCGCCAGAAAGTGGCCGCGAACGGGCTAAGCTGAACTATCAATCTTCTTTCCAGGGTAATTGAAATACTTTGCTGACTTGAAAAGGTCACACAATGGCTCTTCTGAGGCTTATTTCAATTTCGCAATCGGAAAATGCCACAAGGGATTCCAAAGTTCACCACATCTTCGGCCTTTCTTCGAATAATGGACGACCGGGGATCGTTGGGACTAGATGGGATCAACAAGACCACCAGGAGTATTTTCTGAACTCGGATGAAAAAGTAACTACGGGCTCGTACGGACTTCAGTAGGCTCGTACGAGGAGTTTATCATGGCCTGCGTGGAAACCTAAACTGGTCAGTAGAAGCAGCTAACGTGGCTTCTCAGGTCTTGGCACAGGAACAGGGCGCATCGCAGGTTGCGGAAATACTCA